ATTATCACACTGTCAGATTCGCCCCGGCGCCCTACACGGAAATTGTATTAAGCTGTTTCATCGCGAGACGCGCCATAATGCCGCTAATCGAGTTACATGTCTTTAACGCCGCCCGCGATAATTGAAAAAAATCGACGATCCGACGAATTTTTTGACGCATCGCCGACGCGGTCAGCCGACGAAGTCGCGCGCTCGTCGACGCTGGTTCTCCGCGGCGGGCTTCAAGTCCGAGTCTCCGTGAGAAATTAACGCTCGAAAGTTTCACTCGACGCGCGCTCGTTGGCTCCGCGATGATTCGACGCTGGGAAATTAGGGGCTCGAAGGGCCGGCAATTGAATTTTCGCGGAGGGATCGCCGTCTTTGTGCTACACTCCGCTCTTCTCCACGGATCCGGGAATGAAAATTGTCTCGGCGACGAGTCGGAGAAACCTATCGATACACCGATTCCGGCGAGTTAATCCGCCACGCCGGTGCGATTATGCCGCGACTGACGAGAAGAAAGAAAAGTGGGGGGAAGGAGGGAGGGGGGGGGGAGAGGAAAGCTCGTCGTCGACGAGATTCCGCAAATTATACTGTTTAAGGAACGAGGGCGCGACCGGACCTTGCGCAACGAATACAAATGCAAGAACCAGCCGGCGCGTCCCTTCGACGCGCGTGACGAAATTCGCAAAGGAACTCTCGAAGTCGAGCTCTCCCCCCCCTTCTCTCTCTCTCTCTCTCTTCCCTATCTTTCTTCTCCACCAGTCTTGCCTCCGGCGCGTGGGGGTGGTCGAAGAAGCGTGCAGGATGCCTAGAAAGCCGCGGGGGATTTCACTGACACACAGGAGAACCTCCGTCGCCGCTTTGGCGACAACGTGATAATATTTCTGAACTTGGGGGCCTCCTCTCGCGCGCTCTCCTCTCGAGTGGAAGGAAAAAAATTTGTCGGCCGCGAGAGAGACCGAAAACCGGCCGACGTCCGAAACTGGTTTCGTAAGTGCCGCTTCGGCAATAAAGAGAGAGAGAGAGAGAGAGAAGAGGAAAAAAGAGAGAGGAACACGCAACGCGACCGCATTCACGACGAGCGCATTTACATGTTACGTAAAATTTCGTTGGGCCCCGCAACGCGACGTAACGGCGACGCGACGCAACACGCCACCAGGACGACGATCTTGTCGAGCTCGTCGAGCCGTCGACTCGATTCGCGTTTCTCAGGATCCAAATCCGCGGGATGCACGGAATGATCCTTTCTCAATCGCGGGGATATCCACGTACGACTCGAGGTCAACGTTCTTTCGCGTGCACGCTCGAGCGAGCGAGCGAGCGAACTTATGAATACACACGCATAAATAGACGACTTAATTAAAATTCCGATGACGCGGTGACACAAGAAACGTGACATAATCGACGGTGATATTCGTTTATTCGGCGAAAGTTCTCCGTATCGGAGGACAGAGAGGGAGAAGGAGGGCCGATCGTTCACTTGTACTTCATTACGCGATCCGATATTCGCATATAACTATCAACCTTCCTGAATTGAAATTGAAAGAGTGCGCTGTCTAAGAATAAACTTGCCTCTCACCAGCTTTCCTTTCTCTCTCTTTCTCTTTCCTTTTTTTTGGAACGCGCCAAAAGCACCGTCGATATGCTTCATTAACGACACGTGGATCACTTTCCGACCGTGCGTTCGCGAGCTATCGCGAGAAAATGGGGAAAACCGTGACACACCGATGGTTCCGTCCAATTAAATCGCCGAAAGAATGCAGGTCCGCGCGAATCCTCGCTAATTTCGAAACACCCTATATATCCGTGACATTCGCTGTCGCGCCACGTATTATCGAAATTCGCCTGTTCTTTTTTCGTATCGGCACCAGAGGATGGCGATGTAAAATGTCCGATTTATCATGCGTTCGATGGCTTGTTTTAATGTATCATACCGACGGAAACGCTGCAAATACTGGCGGACTAAAAAAAAAAAAAGAGAGAAGGCGGAGCTTTTACTCCAATTTTCAAGGATGATAGATCGTACCCCGTATTTCAAAATTGGAGCGGAACGAACGTACGGCCTTTCTCTCTCTCTCTTTCTCGCTTCCCTCCCCTCTCTCGCTCGTACACACACGTTCGTTCGGTTATCGCGCTCTTTTTCTTTATTTCTCGTTGTGCATGTGTCGACCGTTATTTCTGTCTTCACGACTGACTCATCGACGTCTCGGAAAGAAATGACCCTTGCTCGCGATATCGTCGGCTTTGCATGCTTATCAGTCCTCTACTTCGGGCCGAGGCGACGGCGGCGACGGCTATCGGAAAAGAATGTATTCCGTGGAGTCGTGAGCCGGCGGTCTCTCAAGTTTGCCGCAAAACCTTCGTATCGCGACTGCGCTCGCCGCGAGAATATTTCGCAACTCGGATCCCGCGACACGCGGAATTCGCACGGGCAAACATGCGAGGAACGGGACGCTCTCGAACAGGTGCTTTTCTTTCGCCGGTACGCGCCGCTAATGTGCACCGTATATATATATATATATATATATGCAGGAAAGAAAAAGAAAATCCGCGAGACGTCGCGAATACTCGATCGCGTCGATTCAAGTTGGATATTCAAAGAGTCGGGATACGTGATCCCGACTTCCGATCGAGTTCCTCACGGCCGTTGAGAGAGAGAGAGAGAGAGGAGAGACTGAGAGAAATCGATCATTTAAAATTGTTTCGCGCGTCGCAAGGAAAACTAGAGAAAGGGAAGGGAGATACCAGCGACCGCGCACGCTAAAGAGCAACAATAGGCCACGCGACGACACCCGATCTTCGCAATTTTCTGCTTTTTCTGGTGAGCCGCGCACGCACGACTTCCTCCACTTAACGCCACTCCCGGGGCCACCATCTGTAAAGTCTGACGGCGGATACTACTACTACCTGCTCTCTTTTCCTCCCCATAGCCATTCATAACGCGATATCGAGATATCGCAAAAGAAACGGCAAGAACAATCCCGCTTTTGCCGGGCCCGACGTGGAGGAAAGGAGACGACGAAGAGAGAAAGAGAGATCTTCCAAGCCCGACGCGCGCGATGCGCCGCGAAGTTTCGAGGCTCACCTGATCCGAGCTCTCGCATCGCCATTTGTATCCGCGCGTATATTGCGAGAACATGTGGCTCATAAAATCGTATCGCGTCCAGCCGTTCCCGCTCGAAGATATTTCCGTACACGCGCCGTGGACGCGGATAAAAACAAATATGAATGGCGGGTGCGATAGCCGTGTGTATGCGCGACCGCCGCCGCGACCGCGTCGTTTAAAAGGTTAATGTCGATACTGACGAACGTAAATAAACGCTTTTAACGCGACGACGACGGCGAGGACGACACTCCGCCTCGACCAATCGCTCCGGCGAATTAAAGAAAAATACCGAGGGCGATGAGAGAAACGGCCGACGACGATGTACTCACGCGACACACCGAGGCTCGTCGATTCACCGCTTACTCGCTTCCGGACTCGCGTTCTCCTGGTAAAATCAGTCGTCTATAATGAACTAGAGCCTAATGAGCGGCCCAACTTCTCGTCGAGAGCCGACTGAGCTCTTCCTAGAGAAGAGTTTCGACGATGATGATAAGAAGCGGTATCCACGCTCATCGCCCTTCGCCGCCCTATTATCTTCGCGACTAATCGTTCTCGCGACGGATCTTATCGAGGAATGCAACGCGCACACAGTGTGTGTGTGTGTGAAGCGTACGTACCGACACGATAGATAGGGCCCGTGCGCGCTCGCGACTCGAAGGCCGGCACCGTGCAAGAAGCGGCCAAGGCCGCCGCTTCTTTCAGCGAGAGTGGGCTCTACCGCGGGTTCTAGTGTCCAGCAAATAACGCTCCTCGCTTAGTTTTAGCGTGCAAAAATATATATATATTATATACATATATATATATATGTATTCCGTGCACACATACCCCGGGTTTACCGTTCAGTGGCCGGCGTATTGATGCGAGAGTCAGACGTGTTTAGACAACACCTACACGGTGGAAAAAGCAAAATGGATCTCTGTCCGAGCGTCATATCGACCGCAAAAACCGGCCGAACTCTGGCTTCCGATTTCTACAACAATCGATGCGCGTGGCCGCGTAAAACGCCGCGCGCGCTCGCCTTCATTATTACATCATTCGTATGTGTATGAACAGCATTTTTCACTTTTCCCTTTCCCTCCAGCGGAAATAGCCGCGGCCGTATCCCGGTGGTTTCGCGCGGGATTCGACCCTCGATCTTGATTTTGCGAGCGTGCGATCGTACGAGCGGCTCGCGCGGAAAAAGGATCGGCGGTGGGAGCTGAAATATAGCCGTGACAGGTCAAACTGGTTTTTCTGAGAGAGGGACAAGCTAATGACGTGGTTATTGAAGCTCAATTTATTGCTCATTTGAATTCGGGTGCTGCGGCGGCGCGACGAATGCGCGCTGCCGGCGACGACGCTCCTCGCGACGGAATCGCGATGACATTCGCAGCGGGGCTTCTAGCTGAGCGTTCACGGTGTATATAACATTGCGTGACGCCCCGCGTATCGTTTCTAAGGTACTCGACTTGGTCTTCTAATTCGACGTCATTCAACTCGCTCGGTATTTCAAAGAAAAGTCTCCTCCGACGGATTAACTCGGCCGAGTTTACTCAGTCTCAGAGTCTGACTCAGCCCCTGATCCTGTACAGAACAAGAAAACAGTCATAAAAATTGCCTCAGCGAGGCCAGGTTGCAGATGAGAGTTACGAGACATTGTATTCGGCGGGATTCCCCGAGGAGTCTCCTTCGGGACTTTCGCGCCAAGGTGCGACTCGACTAGCTTCTTCGATGTCGGCTCCGACTATTCGCGATCTTGGTGACCGCACGTGCGCCTCTTCGTCAGAGCGATTCTTTCTCGACTCGAAGGTCGTACACGCGCGTACATACACACATATATATATATACATACACACACACGCAGACTTTCGAACGAGCTCTGCGACTCGCTCGAAAGAGCGTAAGAAGAGAGAGCGGGAATATGGAGACTTACATCTTGTAATGGTGCTGCATGTGGTGGCCGACTAGGTGCATATCGGTTGCGTGCTGCTGCATCTGCTGATGCTGCTGATGTTGCTGCTGTTGCTGCTGCGGTTGGTGCATACCCTGGTGATGGTGGGTCTGCGGGGGGTCCAAGCTGGAGGCACCCAGCAGGGTAGCGCTCTCCCTGAACAGCGTTGCTACCTGCATCTTGGCGGTTGGCGTCACGTTCTCGCCTACGGAAGTCGGCCGGCGTCACCGTGACGTCACCGGCTATCTCCGTAGGATTTTTCTTCCCGCGTCCTGGCCGCGCGAGAGAGGCACTACCCGCGGTGGCGCTTGTTGTTGTACTTCTGTCTCCTCCTCTTCTCCGCCGCCGCCGATAATAGGGACGGCCTTGGGCAGGGCGACGACTCTGGCCCCGGGTGATCCGCCGAGCGCGATCCTCAGAGGACAAAAGCCCGTCTCCGTTACGCGCGTTCCACGATTTAGTTACGGCGGAGGATCGATCGATACGACAACGGCGGAATCCTTCGAGGATCCCGGGAACGCGACTCTCTCTCTCGCGAGTAGTCACCGTCCGTCGTGGACAATCACGGGACGCGACGTCCAGTCTTCAACGCTCGGCAAACAGTCATCGGTTCGGAGGCTGCGAGGCTCGGCCTTCCTCGGGAGTCCGACGGACCTCCCACGAGCTCGACAAATGCCGTCGGCTTATCGCGCTCTTCTTCGTCGCGGCCCACCGACGGCAGACCGAGCCGGGGCTCGCCGTCGGCAAACAGGCGAGTGCGGCTCGCTCACACCTCGCCGACACACCGAAGTCGAGGAGAGCAACACCTGGTTAACGATCGCGCCACCGACGCAGCAGACGGCGCGTTCTCTTTCTCGCTCGATGCTACCGTCGCGGCGACGGGACCGACGTAGCGAGTCGGTCGCCGTCGACGACGCGCGGCAAGAGTCTTCGCTCGTCTACCTCCACCTCCTCCCCGCCCCCCCTCCTCGACGACGACTCAATCGAGACCTCGCGATGTCGTCATCGTTGCCCTCGCGGTAAGGACCGTCGGTGACGTTACGAGCATTCTCTCTCGGTGGAACCGTTCGGCCGGCGTGCCGCCTCCGCGCCGACAGGCCGGAAGCCGCTCTGCTCTTCGTCGGCCACCGCCGCGAAAGTCTCTTCCCTTCGCCGGAGTCCACTCGCGCGCCCGCCCGGCCCTCTCGCACACTCGCACACACTCTCACCGGGAGGCGCGGACACGCGCGCGCAACACGCGAGCCGCACACGGGATCACTGGCCGCGCGGATATCTCGCTTTAGGAACTTTCTTTTTCCTTCTTTTTATTTCCAAGGAGTTTCTCTCTGTATCTATCTCTCCCTCTCTCTTTTCCTCTCGTCCCCGCGTCTCAGTCTCTCTCTTTCGCGTCACCTCGCAAACTTCTCGTCACTCCCCCGCCTTCCTCTCGCTTATATTATCGTCCTCTCGCCCACGACGGCACGGTGTCGCCTCGAATTCGCGCACTCCGCGTCGCGAGTCATGTTCTCGCCGCCGCGCGCACCTTTTGAATTACGCACACCACCCGCCGTCCCGCCGCACCATCATCGCCGGTGCGGTACGGCGCGGTGCAGTACGTGCGGTGTGATGTGCACCCACGCCCCGTTAAAGGCACCCGGCGGCGTGAGGGTGGCAGGCGCGTTATCGTTCGCGCTTTTCGCGGCGTGTGCGTGCCGGTCGCGCCGCGCGAGCACGTCGGACGTCACGCGACGCGCGTCTCGCCCGTCCTGTGTTCGACCGGCTGCTTGGTTGGTTGGCTGCCGCCGCCGCTTTGATAACGTCGCGACGATTACCTCGCGAATGTTACGTGTCTCGTGCGTACTACTCACGGTGTTGCGCGATCCCCTTTTGCCGAGGACGTGTGTGGTGCTCGACGGAGGAAACACGCGTGCACTGCGCGCGCCGTGCTACCCGCGGATGACTCGCCTCTTCTCCACGCTTTTTTTCGCGTTTCGCCTGCCTTCTCGCTTTCTCCCGCTTCTCGCGAATTCTTTGCTCGCCGTGCTGTTCTCTCTCTTTCTCTTTGTGTGTATCTGTCTCTGTCGATCTCTCCTGCCCTCGCCTCCACGGCGCGAACTCGCCCTCTCTCTCTCTTTCTCGGTCGTGTAAACACACGCGCGCACACACACACCGTGAGATCTGCAACCGCGGCAGCAAGAGTCGGCACCGCACTGCTCGGCCGTATCGCTCGCTCGGCCGCTCGAACCGCGCCGCTCGTACGTTTCCGCCGCTGTTCGGTCGTTCTCGACTACGCTCGGGTTCGAAGCCTCACGACAGCGGCGGCGGCAGCAGCGGCGGCTGTGGCTGGTCCGGCTCCGTCGGTCTCTATCTACTTCGCGTTCTCTACGTATCCGTCTTTGTCCCTCTCGCTCTCTCTGTCTCCGTCAGCCTACTGCCCTGTCTTGTCTCTCTCTCTCTCTCTCGTTCTCACCGTGCACACGTCCGGCTGACTCGCTCTTTCGACCCTCACACTCCTTTCCTTTTCCTTTCCTTCTCGCTCCACCTCGATAAACGTACTTCTCTATTTCTTCCTCCTTCTCTCTCCTCCACGCACGCGCGCACTTTCACTCTTTCTCTTTCTCTCTCCCTCCGTCGCGCTCGTTTTCTCTCCTTCTCCGCCGCGATCGTTCCGTCCCGCTCCTTCTCCCTTCACCCTTCCGTCTCTCTCCCTTCGTCAGTCACGCTCACCCTCCTCCCACACCCACCACCCTCATTCGCCCTCTTTCTTCCCGTCTTTCTCTCTCGCTTTCGCCGCGCTTCTTCTTTCTCCGTCAGCCTCTCTCTCTCTCCGTTCGCGTACTCTCTACTCCGGCTGTCCTTGTCCAGCCCGCTTCGTCCCAAGGATGTCCAACGAAGCTCGACAGGGCTAATCGATCGCCGGCAATCGATGGTAAATCGAGGCACGCGCCCCGACGATCGATTGAGATAGATCGATCGCGATACCGCTCTCGCGATCGTTACCCACCAACCAACGAAGCAACCAACCGACCGGCCGGCCGACCTGCGGCTGTGGCGATAAGGCACACCGCGGAGACGTATAACGGTCGCGCTCCGCGTAGCGGCCACGGCCGAATTTACAACGGGGGCGTACGTCCTTTTCCACCTATGGTGACCCGAGGACATTATGCAAATGAGCGCGCCGCGACGAGATTGTATTTGCGGGAATGTCGCAATGGCGAATTCTTGAAGATGTGACAAGGAGACTCGCCGTTCATATTTACGCAGGTACGGTCTTTTTTTAGATTCGATGAGCGTGCGCGCGTAAGCCTCTTGAGCATCCCCGTCTTCTTCGTCGGGCAGAGGCGCCGTCGATACGTCTCTCTTACAACAACTATGTTCCGTAATCTGCTAACGGCGTTAACAGTAGCGTGGCCGTAAATACGGCTTTTCATGCCTTCTTCCGAAATGTGCGCGCGCTACCAACGTTGTGCCCGCGCCGCTGCGTAACGCGCGGCGAGCCTTTAGTTGTACCTGTAATACGTAAAGTTATATACGGACGATTATCGGCGAGCTATATCGCCAGGTACCTTTAAGAAAGTTCGCGGAAAGTATGCATCGCCGGTGGGTGTTCAATGTAAAGAAGCTCGTAAATATTGCAGGGACGCCTCGTTGAGTTTGGATTCAGACGTTGCATCCTTAACCGCGGTTACTGAAAATACCTCGCGGGGTCAATGTATTCCAAGGCCGCGGGCTTTCTCTCTCTCTCTCGCGATTATATATCGATGATGTCGCGGGCTTCGAATGTCAGCACCAGGCCGGAAATCGGCGATCGCCCAGGGACCGCGTCGCAGCGAAATCGCTCTCGATTTATGCGCGAGCGGTTTTATTTCGCGGCGAAACGACCACGCCGCGTTTCAGTCCATTCTCATTCAGCCCGTCAACGGGGGCGTCGTCGGGACTCGCAAATTCCAACTTCGCGAAATCTGCACACGCGAGCGTTGTTTTTCCTTTTGTTTCATTACGCACGCACGCACGCACGAAATCAGGTTAAAAGGCCGAGACGCCGAGCGAAGCGTCGCTTTAGAGAAGAAAGAGTCGAATAATGGAGGTCGCAAGAACGGAAGGAGCGCGCGGAAACTGCAACTGGAACAAACCCGGGCGACCGAGTGCCGTCGATATAGGCTACTACCGGACGCGCGGACGGTTCTTAATAGAACCTACATTTTTCTCCGTCCTGCCCGCGATATAATCCCGGCAACATCGATAAACAATTAATACCTTCGCGTCGTCGTCGTGGCGCGCGTCGACGGCGTCGCGACGCCGCTCGACGTCCGCTCCCCGTCGTAGATCTCGCGCGCGCGATCGATCTCGCACTCGGACGCGCGGTTCTAAATTATTATTCCCCCCGAAAGTTGATTTCCGATTCCGTTCCGCGGGACACGCCGCCGGTACCTCGTGTAACCAAAATAAACCGTGTGTCCGCGGTACATACGTGCCCGCTCCGCGAATGAAAAAGAGGAAAAAAGCAAGAAAGGCCACGGGGGCCAATATCGCGGGCGGTCCAGAGCGGTCGATCGATCTTGCTCTCTCTCTCTCCTGCTCGCTCGGCCTGCCTTTCCCTCCCTCCCTCTCTCTCTCTCTTTCGCTCGCGGGCGCCGCTCTTTCCCGCGCCTCGCTCTTATTATTAATCGATTCAAATTATCGATCGCAGTCATCGCCGTGTCGCTTCGACCTGGAACGGCCCGACTTCCACCGCGCCGTCCATCCGGCAGGCAGGCAGTCCGCCTATATTCCGCCGCCTGGATGCACGACCGCCGCCATAGTGTGCTCGACGTGGCGCGCGCACATGTATCCGCGTACATACGCGACGAGCGCGGAGTCGCGCGCCTGTGTGCGTGTGCACGCGCGTATTGCGCGATGTGTACAATCCGCGCGACCACGAGCGCGAGGGTGTGTTGCGACGGTGAGAGTGAGTGAACCAGCGAGCCAACGTCAGATGCGAAAGAGAGGGAGAGAGAGAGGCATGAGATACGTGTGTGTGTTGCGCGTGCACGCGTATATGTGTGAGCCCGCGTGAGAGGGTGTGGGTGCATGCGGTGACCCTGCCGCTGGATGGGTGGGTGGAAGATCAGGAGCGTACCGAGGGGGCGACGTGAGAGAGACGCACATCTCGCGAATCCGCAGCGCGAGAATGCCGTGCTCTTTTTACATGGCGCGGCACGAGACGCGAGATATTTTTGATATACGACATCTTGCGATTCGCCCTTCGCAAACAAACGTCGCAATAGGTCCGTTCTTCGCAGCTGCGCTTTTTACCGCACACTCCGTTTCTTCTCTCTCTCTCTCTCTCTCCATCTCTCCCTCCTCCTTTGTCTTTTCCTTTCTTTCGCTGTCTTTCTCTCGTTTTCCGGCAGTGCAGACGCGCGCGCGGTATACCTGTCTCGCTTTAAGCACGAAAAGTGTAAAAAGTGCAGGCAAACAAGAATGTATCTTTCGCGTGTTTCACAAAGTTTGTTTACTTTCGGACTTTGCTTCCGTTTCCGCCAAAATAACGCCCGTCGAGAGTTTTCTCTTCAAATTTCATATTTCTCTGTTTAAAGTTCCGATACAACAAACTGCCCATCTGTCGCGCGCGCCGGCTTCTCGTCCCGTTTGTTTTTTTATCTTATTGTTATATAATTGGCTGATACCTGTAATAAGAGCATGTAAGACACAAAGTATCGCGCGAGCGAATATATCGGTTATCGCGTTCAGTTATCTCCGTTCCGCGTTACACATGACTGTTCCGACCGTGTTCCGACTGGAACAGCGCGAGAATTCAGCATGTGCCGAATTCCACGTCGCCCCACGCTCAACGCCGCTGAATATCGCTGAAATTTCGCCGAATACGCCCGACAGATTTCCGAAACGGTCTTCAGAAAGCCGAGGCGAGGAGATTCTACACGCCGGGCGAATCGCGCTCCTCCCTCTCAAAGATGTCAAAGCCAAAACCTCTTGACACGCTCCTGCCTGGAGCGACGCGTCCGTGTGCACGTTGCGTGTGTGGGAGTGTGCGCGCGACCAGGTTGCCTCGAAAAGAGGAGGAGGGAGCGAGAGGACGAAGGGGGGAATGAGCGAGATGGACGTAACGGTCAGGGTGGAGGAGGAGGAGGCGGTGGTAGTGGTGGTGGAGGTAGTGGTAGTGATGGAGGAAGAAGAAGGGAGGTCGATGTTCACGCGTGGGAGGAAGAGAAAGGGATTGAGAACGATCTACCGGGTGTGTAGAACGACGTGGGTCGGAGAAGGATAACGCGACTTTGGACGAAGAGAGATGGAGGATATACCGTCACGAGGAGGGGGGTAAGACCAGCACGAGAAGGAGAGGCGTCTCGTCGGAGCGACGAGGACAGCGAGATCGTCCAAGCTCGCTCGTACACACACACGTACGTGCACATGCGTACATGCCATCCACACAGGCGCGCACTCCACGGGTACACACTGGGCCGTGAAGCTCGCGCACTACAGACTCCCACCACGCGAACTTTTGGAAAAATCAATAGAATACAAGAAAAGCCCATGGTGCGCCAGGCGGGTTGGAGCCCTCTCTCCTCCCTCGTCTTTTCCCTCTCCGTCTCTCTTTCTCCCTGCCCCTCTCCCTCCCCCATCCTCTCTCCTTCTCTCTTTCTCATTCCGTCTCGCTCGTCTCTGCACCTCCCGCCGCAGTTCTCTCTCGCGCGCGCGCGTGTTTGCTCGCGACGAGGAGAGGGAGTGCTCGCGTGTATACACTGGCGATCGACGGAGATAGACGGTATGCGTACACGCACGATGGCCAAGGACAGAGATAGACGAGAGGGAAGGGTGGGTTAGGAGAGAAGGTGGATGGGAGGTGCAGGGCTGTGTGTGCGAGTGACTCCGGCAGTATCGGAGCGGAGGAACGGACGTGGGAGCAAGATGAGAGCCTCGGAGAGGAGGACAGAGTGTGGAGGAGGAGGAGGAAAAGAGAGAGATAGAACGCGAAATGCGCTATAGGTGCGTCTTGGTCGGACAGAGAGAGCCGACGAGCGTGCAAGGTGGACGAACGAAGAGGGTAGACTGAAAACGCACTGGTGTGCGCGCACGCTCGCGCACGCTAATAGACGAGGCGGATTGGGAGGAAGAGAGACGGACAGATAGACGGAGAGAGGAGCAGGTCCGTCGCGATAAAGAAAAAGAGATAGAGACATACTCGCGAGCATGTGCAACGCCGTGCGTACCTAAGACGCGCATAAGTCCCGCCGTTAGGC